GGCACGCTGGCGCAGCCTCCACGCGGGAAGATCGCTGTGTCCTTGCTTCTTGCACCCGAGTGTCGCATCTCAGCCTTGAACATCCTGATTAGGATTCCCGTGCCGAGGGGGCCTTGAACATCCTTTGCACTCCAGGCCCCCACACACAGGCGTGCAAAATGACTCATGCACAAGTGACTCATCCATCGTGGCATTATCGGTTAGAGCCAACGCTGGAGACGCCCTGTGTCCACAGTAGGAGACGGGCTGAGTAAATGACATCAACGCAATGGAATGTGAGGGAGCTCTTTCCGGAAGGTTCTCCGAGATACACTGTTGTGTAAGAGAAGATGGCAACTATAGATTTGTGAAAGCGGCCCCGTGGTGGACAGAAGCGATGGCTAATCCTCCCCGCAGGAAGACACGGCTTTGGCTGGGACCCTCTGTCTCCTTTCCTGGACACAAGGAAATACAACTACCGGTTGACCACCAGGCCTCCTTTTGGGATCAAACCCCTTACATTGGGTAACTATTTCACATTGTGTTTGATTTTTATTTATTACCGTGTTTCCCCGAAAATAAGACATCCTCCGAAAATAAGACCTACTTACAGGTTTCCTTCTGAGTGAAATATAAGGCATCCCCCGAAAATAAGGCCCCCCCTAGGCTACACATGAGAGATTTGGTCCACTGATTCTGAAAGAAATGGAGTCACAAGAAATTCACCAGGAAATTCAGGAATTGGATTGTGATAATGCTGTTCCAGAAGATGATGACATGATTGTCACTGAATAAATGAGTAAATTCTTGATACTGTAGGATTCACAGTTTGTCTGGTTTGTGTTGACAACTACCGTACTACCGTACCGTATACAGGTAATAAATTTCCTTTATTTTCATTTAACAATAAATGTGTACCGTATTCTTCTTCATGGAAAAATAAGACATCCCCTGAAAATAAGACCTAGCGCATCTTTGGGAGCAAAAATTAAAATAAGACACTGTCTTATTTTCGGGGAAATAGGGTATTTATTTTAACATGGGCTGGCCCGGGGAAGGGGTGGAGAGAGGGGGGGAAGATACAAGTCCCCTGGGTCTTTAGGGGCACGAGAGGGGGAGAGGGCAGGAGGCTGGAAGGAAATGATGAGGGAAGGGGAGGGGCCACATTGTGGTTGGTTTAGACCAGTCAGGTTTTATTTTCTCTGACCAATATTTTATTTTTAATTAATTAATTAATTAGTTAATTTGCTGACCCTTATTTTAACCTTTGTACAGAATTTTTAAATTTCTTCTTGTTTCAGTGGGTTTGGACTGCTGTAATAAAAACATTATAGCCACTGGGTAGCTTGCAGCAAACATTTATTTCTCACAGTTCTGGAAGCTGGGAAGCCCAAGGTCAAAGCACCTTCCAAGTCCTTGCTGCTGTGTCTGCAGGAGGCTGGAGGGCTGAGGGGCCTCAGCAGGGACTCCCTTACCAAGGGCACTGATCTTGTCACATGCATTTGGGGAGGGGACATCCACGCAGCACTCCCCAGAGAAGATAATTTTGAACCACAATAAAGTCACATCAAACTCAGCTTTGACATTTAAAAAAATAAAGGTTTTCAAGTAAACATGAATTTGTCTGATACAAGCTTTTTAATATATATATATTATTGATATTATATAAATATATATTATTGATTTTTTTTACAGAGAGGAAGAGATAGGGAGTTAGAAACATCAATGAGAGTGATCAGCCGCCTAGAGTGAAACACCGATCAGCTGCCTCTTGCATACTCCCCACTGGGGATTTGCCTGCAATTAAGATACATGCCCTTAACTGGAATTGAACCTGGGACCTTTCAGTCCACAGGCCAACACTCCATCCACTGAGCCACACTGGTTAGGACTGATACAAGCTTCTATACCAGCCTACTGTAAGTTTAGCCTATACACGTCTGCCTCACATCTCACCCATAGGAGTGAGCCTTGAGAATGTAGAATTCCAGTTTCCTCACTTGTGTGTTTGTTTTTTTTTAAAGGGGAGTGCACTTTTGAGATGAGGTGAGATTGGCCTAGATCCGAGTTCTGCTGAGACTCACAGATTGATTCCACCTCTCACTAATGGGGCACAGCTTATTTCATAAACACAACCATGACATTGAAACTTCTCTGTTTCGGTTCCCCTAGCTCCCTGAGTGTCTGGCTTTGCCAGGCAGGGCAGGCATGAGTAACAGTGCAGCTGTTAGCAGGGGAGTGGCCTCGGTTCTGGACTCGGTGCAGGAGAGATTTCACAAGGCTTTTGAGAGTGCGTTCCCTAAAGCAGGCAGAAGAGGCAGGATCACACCCAGGAAGAGAGCCTAGTGCAGCTGCCTGGGCCTTTAGAGAGAAAGGCACACGGGCACAGGGAGGCAACTGCGCTGCTAGACTCTAGATATCAACTCAAAAAAGGGGCCCTGGGGAAAGAAAAGATAAGGGCCCAGGAAAGACAGAAGATGGGGAGGGGCAGGCAAGTGAGAGAGAGGGGGAGGGAGAGAAAGGGAGAGAGAGGGATAGAAAGGGTGAGAAAGGGAAAGGGAGGGAGAGAGATAGAGATAGAGATAGATAGAGAGATAGAGATAGAGATAGAGATAGAGAGAGAGAGAGAGAGAGAGAGAGAGAGAGAGAGAGAGAGGCAGGAGGAGAGATAGAGGGAGAGAAAGGAATTTTAGGGGAGGTCTCAGGGGAGTATCTTTTTAAAAAAAATTTTGTTGTTTCCCTAACCAGTTTTGCTCAGTGGATAGAGTGTTGGCCTGCGGACTCAAGAGTTGCAGGTTCGATTTAGGTCAAGGGCATGTACCTTGGTTGTGGGCACATCCCCAGAAGGGGGTTGTGCAGGAGGCAGCTGATCAATGTTTCTCTCATCAATGTTTCTAACTCTCCCTCTCCCTTCCTCTTTGTAAAAAAATCAATAAACTATATTTAAAAAAATTTGTTGTTGTTAATCCTCACCCAAATGTATTTTCATTGATTACTTTTCTTTTTTAGAGAGAGTGGGGCAGGGAGACAGAAATATCCATGCGAGAGAGACACAGCCTGCAACCGAGGTCCCTGCCCTTGTCGGGAATCAAACTCTTAAACCTCCAGTCTGCGGGCCAGGGCTCTATCCACTGAGCCAAACAGCCAGAGCTTGGGGGAAGATCTTAATGGAATATTCACCATCTTCCCAATCGGGGTCATGGGGTCACTGTGTCATTTACCCACACCTCAGTGGTCAGGGTGACAACAGCACACAGGTGTTTTATTATTTATTTATTTATTTATTTATTTATTTATTTATTTTTAACTTTTCCTCATTCATTTATTAACTAGAGGCCCGATGCACAAAATTTGTGCAAGAGTAGGCCTTCCTTCTCCTGGCTGCCGGCACCGGTTTCCCTCGCAGCCCTGGCTTCGTCCGGAAGGATGTCCAGTCTAATTAGCATATTATGTTTTTATTATGATAGATTAAAAGATGTTTTAGTCCTTACAAGCCTCAGAGTTGATGCCATATAACTGTGCGTGAGGGAGAGGACTGGAGGCAGGACAGCCAGGAGCTGGGAAGTCCCTGGGCAAGTAGGATGGGGAGCTGAGACAACAAGGTTAAACAAGACCAAACCGTCTGGGCACCGGCTGTGAATCCCGACTGTGCCTTCCCAGGTAAGGACACTGGGGAGCCAGGGTTAATGCCTCTCCCCTCACCGGAGAACACTCAGCTCAGATCGCCCTGGCCTGGGAAACGGAGAATGAAGACCCCATTAATACCGTCTGTGGCAGCTAAACCCAAGGACAAATCACTTGGGGGATGTTAGGGCAGGAAGGGGGGAGAGGGCGAAGAGGGGAGCTTTACCTCACCCACTGCACAGAGATGTCCGCGGCCTTCGGACTGGCCAAACAGGAAGACCAGTTTTATGCACAAACACTCCTAGATGCGCCACAACAAAGACCAGGGGACTTTGAAACCGAGTCTGCCACCCAAGACCTCAGGCTGGAAACAGAAACTGAAATCTGCAGGGAGAAAGGTATACAACCCCTTGGCCCTCCACCAGGTGTGTAGCTGAGTTCTTTGCAATTGTCCCCTTGACCAGGAGTTCGACCAGAGGGTGGGGTCAGCCGGGGGAAGGGGGAGGGAGGGAGCCAGCAGCTAGGGACCCTACCAGTGCACAAATGTCATGCACTGGGCCTCTATCTTTAATAGAGCTGCTTGCGCCGAAACCGGTGTGGCTCAGTGGATAGAGCGTGGGCTTGGGGACTGAAAGGTCCCGGGTTCGCTTCCGGTCAAGGGCATGTACCTTGGTTGCCGGCACATGCCCGGTGGGGGGATGTGCAAGAGGCAGCTGATCAATGACTCTCTCTCATCGATGTTTCTAACTTTCTATCTCTCTCCCTTCCTCTCTGTAAAAAATCAATAAAATATATATTTTTTAAAAAACAGAGCTGCTTGCTTTGCTTCAGCGCTGCTGTCTGTCACTCCTCCGAAGCCTTTCTCATGAGATTGCCAAGAGCGGAGGGAGGGAGGCGGGGAGACCGCAACCCCTGGGTCTCGGGGGGCTGCCCGGTGACAGGCGTGCATGCAGGAAAGGACTCTCTTTTTCAGGATGACCATTTTCAGGGTGAATCCAAACAGGCGCAGAGTCTGCATTCCGTTAATAAGCTTTCAAATCCCGCGGACACCGGTGGGCGCCCATGCAAGCCGGCAGGTGCAGGCCTCGGGGCATCCCTGTGGGCCGCCGGCGCCCATCGCGCCAGGCTTCACACGCAGGACCCTCCGGCCTCCAGGTCCGCCTAACGGGGTGACTCCCCGGCGCCCGCCTTCCCCGGCCCGCCCGCCCCTCCCCGGCTCCGAGCCCGGACCGCGGACCGCGCCCGCCAGTCTGTCTTTCCCACCCCGGCGCGCCCGGGCCGCAGGCGGAAGTGCGTGGGCGGGACGCCCGCAGCCCCGCCCCGGAAGTGGGCGGGCCCGCGCGCCCAGCGCCGTCCCCGCGGCTGCGGCTGCGGCCGGCCCACACGGAGCGGCTAAGATGGCGGCGCAGCCTCCCAGCGGGATCCGCCTCAGCGCGGTGAGCGGCGCGAGGGGTGGGGCGGCCGCGTCCCAGGAGGGCGGGCAGGCGGGCGGGCGGCGAGGGGGGGCCGCAGTGGGCGGTGGCGACTCGCCGGCCGGGCGGCGGGGCCGCGCCAGGGCCGGGGGACGGGCAGTGGCCTCGGCCCCGCCGCGGAGCGCTGGGCGGCGGGCAGGGCCGGGCGGCGCGTCCCGGGCCGCGGCCCGCGGGCTCCGGGTCGGTTTCTGTTTTGCGCCCGACGCTCCGGGGCGGGCCCGGCCGGGCCCCTCCTCCGGCCCGGGCGGGCGGGCGGGCGCCGGGTCCAGCGGCGGGGCCTCGGGCCGGCTCCGCGCCCGCCGGCGGCCTCACCGGGGCGGGGAAGGGTGGGGGCTGCGGCCGGGCCTCCGGCGGGGTCCCTGCGGCTCCCCCGCGGCGCCGGGTCCCCTCCCGCCCCTGCGGCCCCGGCGGCCGTTCGGCTCCGGGCAAACCCCGCAGCGAGTCCGCACCGGAGCCCCGGCGCGGGAGCGGCCCCACCTCCGGAGAGGAGTTCGCTGCCCCGCGGGCGTGGCGCTCCGCCCGCCGCCGGGAAGGTCGGCGGCGATTGTCATGCAGACGCGGACCCCCGCCTGCGGGCGCCGGGCTCCCCGCGAGCACTCCGGCCGGCGCCCGCCGCCCCTGGCTCTGCCGAGTGCAAGTGGCGTCTTTCATTTCCTTCACCGCCGGCGAAATGGAAAGCTCTTCGTGTTTCACTCTTGGTTGTTTTTTTGAAAAAGAACTATCCTTCTTGCTGGCTGCCCTGCTTCCTTTTTGCTGCTTCTGCTTCTTCTTCTTCTTCTTCTTCTTCTTCTTCTTCTTCTTCTTCTTCTTCTTCTTCTTCTTCCTTCTCCTTCTTCTTCCTTCTCCTTCTTCCTTCTTTCTTCTTTCGCCCTGTTTCCTTTTTATATCTTTGTGTGTGTGTGTGTGTGTGTGTGTGTGTTCATCTGTTGACTCCAAAGCGTTCTTTGCAGGCTCTGAATAAAGGTCCTTTGGTTACGTAACTGGTCCATTGCAGGAGATAGCATTTGCTAGTGTGCCCATAGAGGGAAACTTTATTCTTTCTTAGGATTGCCCTTGAACTTTATTTGCTAGTTGTTCATCCCCACACCAGGGCGAACCCGGGCAGACTCTAATGCTGCTTTCCAGTTAGCCTCAGGTACTGGAAAGTCTGATCCATCTGGTTTAGAATCTGTGACTCAGACCCCGCCCTCTTGGAGGAGCCAAATCCAGGCTCAGAAACCTGGATGGGGAAAAGCACGAGCTGGTTTTCCCGTGTGTGCATTTGCATCCTATCCTCTCCCCTCTCCTCCCCTCCCTTCCCAGGTAGCTGTGTCTGCCCTTCAAGGCCGAGGTGAGGAAGAAAGCAAAGATACGGGTCCAAACGGTCTTCAGAGGCCCCTGTTGTTACCCCTCTGTCTGGGCGGAGCAGCTGTCCGGTGCTAAGTCTTTGTTTTGCGGTGATATGGGCTGTTTGCAGCCTCATTGATGGAAGTCTCCCATCTGCAGCTTCTGGACCGTCTCCATCCGCCTTGTTGCTTTGGGACAGGAATTGGCCAGCTCATGGGCCACATCCAGCCTGCCACCTGTTTTTGTATGGCCTGAGAGCTAAGAATGATGCTTAAATGGTTACCAAAAAAAAAAAAAAAAAAAGATTTTATAATACTGGTATATAGAAATTGTGTGAAACAGGCGTTTTAGTTCCATTCGTAAGTCTCATTGGAATATAGCCGTCTTCATTCACTTCTGTATAGCTCTCAAGTGCTAGCATTAGGAGAGGGTCTAGGAATATGTTAAAAACTCTGAGGCACAAAGGGTGGACCATAATGTATGCGGATCTTTAAAAAATCACTTAGTAATTTAGGAGATTCTGGAAAGGAATGTGGAGTGACAAGAACTTACTGAAACGTTTGCCTTTTGCTTCCATATTGCTAAGTAAAATGCTTATTCCATGTTGTTGTTTGCCAGAAATGCTGCTGTGCATTTAGCGACACTGACCCGCACTTTTCGTCTCCTCCCATCCTCTCACGGCTCCTAGTCTCTCTCTCTTTTTTTTTTTTTAATATATATTTTATTGATTTTTTACAGAGAGGAAGGAGAGAGATAGAGAGTTAGAAACATGAGAGAGAAACATCGACCAGCTGTCTCTTGCACACCCCCTACTGGGGATGTGCCTGCAACCAAGGTACATGCCCTTGACCGGAGTCGAACCTGGGACCTTTCAGTCCGCAGGCTGATGCTCTACCACTGAGCCAAACCGGTTTTGGCCCTCGTCTCTTTTATTGGTTGAATTACCGTATGATTTATCACTCATTATTCACAAACGAATCAGCCAGAAATATGGCCATGCTTTCTTTGCTGTACAGCTTTTTGTTTTCCCTGAAGTTAATTGATTTGTTTTTTTGTTTGCTTGTTTGCTTAGTTTTCTCTGTATTGATAGATCGATCACTTTTTTATTCAAACTTTCAGAGAACTGGGAAATGTCGTCTAGGTGTGTTCAAGACACCCCAAAGTTTTGTATTTTATTGGTTCAGCTGTGATTTGGGGACTTCCCTATGCTATTCTTCTAGACTTTTCCTTCCCCTTTTTGTTGTGTCTCCATCCTACATATTCTTGTTTTGGGGTTTTCTCCCTTGGTAAGCACAGTACCTTACTGACGGAGCTCAAGGGGCTCTGGAACCACCTGCCTGGGTCCAAATCCTGACCCACAAGTGCATATGTTACCCTGGGCCAGTTAACCTGTTTGTGCTTGAGTTTCCAGTCTGAAGAATGGAAATAATCTTACCCACCTCATAGTGTCATTTTAAAAATTAGGGGAGCTGCCAGGCCCATGTGGCTCAGTGGTTGCATGTTGTTTCCTGGACCAAGAGATCCCAGGTTCAGTTCCCAGATGGGGCATATGCCTGGGTCTCGGCTCAATCCCCAGCAGGGCACATGCAGGAGGCAGCTGATTCATGTTAATGCAGCATGATTCTATCTCTGCCTCTCCCTCTTAAAAAAAAAAATAAGTAAATGTATATAAAGGACATTGCATGCTGTACTCAGACAATACTGCTTTTTGGAATTTTAATATATATATTTTTTTTTATTGATTTCAGAGAGGAAGGGAGAGGGAGAGAGAGAGAGAAACATCAGTGATGAAAGAATAATTGATTGGCTGCCTCCTGCTCACACCACACTGGTGATCGAACCTGCAGCCTGGGCATGTGCCCTGGCCAGGTATTGGATCTTAACCTCCTGGTTTATAGGTTGATGCTCAACCACTGAGCCATGCTGGCCAGGCGGCAGTATTGCTATTATGTTACTGGTAGTGATGGAGCCTACCCATCCTTCCAAAAAGAGCAGAGTACCTGGGAGGAAAAGCATTTTTTTGAGGTTAGAAAAAACGACTTTATGGTTGAGGATTTTACAGAAGCCTTCCTTTATTCTTTTCATTGCTTCCCTCCACCGTGTTCCTGCCCTGCCCCAGGCCTTTACCATCCTATTGACTGTGTCCATAGGTAATGCCAACCCTCCTAAGTAATAAAAGCCTAATATGTGATCATTCTATCGGGAGTTCGGCCATTCGCTGTGATGTGCTCTGATCACCATGGGGGCGGTGGGACAGTGGAGCAGGTGAGCGGGTGGTGCCAGGCCTAGGTAGGTGTAAGTGGGGGCCCTGTCGCCTGGCATATGCCTACCACTGGCGGCCGTGGTGGAGGGGGTTGGGGGCTGGCCCCAACCGATTGCCCCACAGATGGTGACCAGCAGCAGCAGCAGCAGCAGCAGAGTTGGGGCTGCCTCCTGGCTCCCAGGTGCTGAGGGAGCCAGGTGGGGGGGGGGGGGGCGGGGAGGCGCGCTTACGTGCAGGCAGCCCTGATCTATTGATCTTATCACCCGAATGCAGGATGGTGGAGCAATGAGAGGTGGTGTCAGGCCAAGGCAGGGTGCCAGGTGGGGCTGCGGGGCTGGGGGCATGAGCTGGGGCCCAATCCCCACAGGCTAGCTCCAGGGACCCCACCCCTGCACAAATTCATGCACTGGCCTCAGGTATGCATGTAAGTTCTTTGGTTTTTGCAGGGGGCACTCTATGTCAGTGTCTGTCTATAGACACTAAAGACTGGGAATGTTAGACTAGAAATAAGTATGTTTAAAGTAGAAAAAAAATTTACAGTAATTTTTGAAAAGTGAAAACAAAAACATGTTATCCAGAAAGCACTGTAAAAGAAGCAAGCAGAACTTTTAGAGGTCGTTCTGTTTCCTAAAGGGGACCTTACAGTTAGTCTCCTGCTCCTGCCGGCCAGCCTTCCTGAAAGCTAAGCAGGGGAAGGAGACAGAAGCACCACATTGTTCATCTTGCTAGCTTGGTGTTTGTTGTGGTAAAACACACAACAAGATTTGCTTTCCTAACCGTTTTTCAAGTGGACAGCTCAGTAGGTTAAGCACATTCACATTATTGTGCAGCCAGTCTCCAAATTCTCTTCATCTTGCAAAAATCAGCCTCCTTTACTCGCTCCAAAATGACTCACTATTCCCCTTTCCCTTTGCCCCTCACACCACCATTCTGCTTGCTGTGAGTTTGGCTATGTTAGGAACTTCATATAAGTGGACTCATAAGCATTTGACTTTTTGTGATTGTCTTATTTTATGTAACTTAGCTATTGTGAATAGTGCCGCTATGAACATTTTAAGACTCTGCTTTCAGTACTTTTCAATATTTTCTTAAAAATCAATGGCTGGCTTAGATGGTGATCCTATGTTCAATTTTTTTGAGGACCCTCCATAGTGGCTGCACCATTTAATGTTCCCTCAAAGCGTGCACAGGAGTTCGTTTCTCCACATCCCCACACTTCTTATTTTCTGGTTGTGTTTGTTAAGAGTACTTAGTTTTTGTTTGCATTTCTGTAATGGCTAGTGTGCTGTGAGCATCTTTTCACAGGTGCTTAGTGGTCATTTGTATCCCATCTTTGGAGAAATAGCCATCCAAGGCCTTTCTTTGTTTTTTAAAT